CCTCAGTGAAAGCCTAACTTAGCTTATCTAGCCTTTCCTTGCAAAAACTAGTATCACTGATTTCTCAAAAAATGTGCTGTTCTGCTTTTTTTTAATTATATAATGAAGTATTTCTGACTGGATGTTCTACATAATTTAAATTGTAATATATGAAATGGAAAATCTGTCTCAATTCTCTCATTTTATAGCTCAAGCTAGTATCTATTCCTGTTGTATTTGACACACATTCAAACCTTTGTATGGTCTGTCATGCCTACTTCTTTCAAAATTTGTGTATATCTTAATGAGGTCCTTGTGTAATCTCCTTTTTTTGCCTAAATCCTTGTATCTTCCTGGCTGTCATTTGCAGAACCTTCTCCAGCTCTATAATAACTTTTTTTTTTAGAGGACTGAGCAAGGCTGCTCACATGAGCAACACGGTTGCGCTAATCCTTAGTACAGTGTTCAGCTATGTTTGATACCTCTACTAATGCATTCTAAAATGTTTTTGCCTTTCTACTTCTGTAAGCAGAGTTGTAGGTTTTAACGTTTAATTTACTAACTTCCAACTCTTCTTTGCTCCATGTCTTATAGCATTTGATCAATGACGATGCAATTCTCTTCTTCTTTTTTATCCCTGTATACTATATTTTATCCCTATATGACTACATACTGCTTGATATTTCTTTACACTGAATTGCAGTCAGACTCCAGTTTCCTGCTGGATCTCTGCTCTTTGTGGGGTTTTTTCAATTCATGTGGGCTCCACCATGACATTTAGTTCTTTTTACGTGCTGCCCTGAAGATAGACATGATCTGTCAGCCAGCCGTAGCGGAGGTGTCCCCCTCTGCAAGAACGTGCTGGGGTTGCAGTCAAATAGATCAGCCCCTCCCTGCCACAGAACAAATTTAGATAAAAAGTTACATAAAAAGTCCAGACACTCGGTATCTCTCTTTATTGGCAGATTTTCCTCCTCTGCTTAGTCACGGAGGTTCTGATGTTCCTCGCTTACTTGCATGAAGAACACCACAGTAGGAAGAGGCCAGGGACTGAGGCGCCCTAACGGGTATCAGCTGTATCTTCCTCTTCGTCACGTGTGTGTACGAGACTTTGCTGAACTCGAGGAACAGAACGTTATTGGAAAACATGTATGAAAGCAATAACAACAGAAATAGCTGTTCTCAGATGGGGGGAGCTTGGCTTCCTTCTGACTGTGTTTCTCTGAGCTCTGAGCTTTAGACTAAGTCGAGCCTATGGTTGACGCCACGCAAACTAAAAGGGTGCTGGAAAGTTGTTGTTTTGTTCAGGAGTCTGACGACACCACTTCCAGAGATCGCTTGTCAGGATTGCCTTACTGTAGAGAGAAGCTCTGAGAAGCCTTTCCGCTCTCCTGCAGGTGGATATGTAGTCTTAACTTGAGGCATCGGGCAGTTGAGTATTTTTCGATTCCCATGTTTAATTACTATGTACAGAAATAAAAGTACGCTAACCAGGATAAAGGGAAGTGAGAGACGAGTAATTTTGTGTATGGTAATGAGACAAAAGAGAGTATTTTCTACTCATCAGCTGTTTGCCCACTGTCATGAGACAAGCTGTTGGCGTTGTCAGGAATGAGTTTGAAAGATAAGGTGGTAGTAGCGTATGGACTTGAAACTCTCCGTGCGTTTGGAGTTGGTTTGGGGATTAACAAATATGAAGTTGCTTCAGGGGTAGTTGGCTGATTGGAAGTGTAGCACACGGGAGGTGTGGGATTTGTGGTTTGCTGTGCCACCTTTCTGTGCATCAGTTCTTTTTCAGTAAAATGAAAAGAACATTTCAGCTTCGTGCAGTGTAGAGATCGAATTGTCAGTAAAGCAGTCTGTGGGTCCTATAAACCAAATATGGATATACATACAAAAGGTTACTCTTTTTTATAAAATACTGGGTATTTTTAGGGGCAAGCAAGAAATAAAGCATTGTATTTACATTTTATATGCTCTGAAATAGATGAATGTAAAATGTAAATTATCAATATATCAAGGGAATCTTTCAAAAGCCTTGCATTCAGCCCATATAGAATAGCTCATATAGCTAACAAAAGCATAAAAGGTGAAAAACACATATAATATAGACTAACAGCAAAACTTAGTTTTAAGCATTTAAAAATAAGCAATTAAAGCAAGTTTAATGTAAAAATATGAGACTTTTTTTTCCCTGAAATTTGATAATTTAATTATTTTTTTCAATGGTTTTAATTGGAACTCTCACAGCCTGATTCTATCAGGAATTATTTGATAAAATGCTCAGTGCTCAAAGATCTATTTTATTCTAGCTTTTTGCACAAATCTTTAGAAGGTTTTGGGTTCTTCTTCCTAAATGAGTTGAATTTTTTGAAATGCTGAAGTTTTCTGGAAAAGGAAAACTGTATCTCAGCCAGTTGAATTTACTGTCTTATAGCATGTACTATTATTTAAACTCTTCAATCATGTGAGATATTTGACTTGAGTAAAAGCTATACAAAACGTAAAGCAAAACAGATGTCACACTAATGAATGCAGGAGGATTCTTGAGATCTTCTTTTTGCACATCACAACAAAGGAAATGATAAATAAATAATCTTAATGTTTCCCTAGAGACAAAACTTTAAGATAAAAAGACTTGCTTTTTCACTTGAACCAATAAAACCATTATATTGAATTCCAAGGTACTGAGTACTTTCCAACCGCCCAAGAAATACCAGTTAAGGGCAATAATCTAGCATAATTGTTACTGGGATTTTTTTTTAAAAAACAGATAAGCTTATTGCAAAAACCAGAATACCTAATGGAGTTTAAGTTGCCACATTTAAAAAGGATTTAATCAAGCTTTTTTGGTTAATCGCAGCCTCTCACAAGACTGTTGGGTATTTCTTAGTGCCAGTATTTAGCACTTCTGCCAACTGTCTGAATTTTCAGGCAATCTGCTGATAAAAATAAACTCAGCTTTTGACTAGTTATAATTTGACAAGTTTTAATTTCGCATTTTAAGAAATTAACCAACTCCCTGCAGATCATTCTGTCTCAGGAGCAGTTTCATTTCCCTGGAGAAGCAACATGTAAATTTTTGAGTTGCAAGAGAATCCAAACGTAGGTGCGCAGAGCAGAGGCGGGCTAGGAGAGCCGATGGTGGTTCTCAGGAAGTGATTGATGGAGTTTGGGGGTACTTGGTTCCTAGAGCAGATGCGGAAAAAAACTTGCCCAGATTCAGTCACAGTTTCTTGCCGATGAGACCCATTGGTACTGATATGCTAAAACACCTCAGGCTTTGTCCTGATTTTGTAGTGACCTTATAACATAAGAAGGCCTAATTTTAATTTTTTTTTTTTTTTTTTAAGCATGCCTGTAAATTTTGAGTTAAACTGTTGCTGGAAATTCAGCTATGCAATCTCTTCATATAAGAAGAGCTGCTTGTCAGAGGCATTTGTGAGCCTTCACAAAGGCCACACAAAGAACTCACTAACTCTCACCACCTTTGTTTTTAGAAAGCTTTTTTTTTTTATTGTCCAGACTGTTTATCTGGAATGATGTTTTCAAGTTTGACACGTTTTTGAGAGGAGACCATATCCAGTCTACCATGAGATGTAAAATCTGAAAAAATTATTCTTTTGGATCAGATGTAGTCCCAAGCCTACTGCTGACAGCACAGTGACATTACGCTATAGTAATGGGGTAGGATACTAGTGTCCTGTAATATAGCATAATATCATGTGTTACAAGCTCAGTCTGAAATGCTTTTGCTTGGTGTATTGTAGATGTGTCAGCAGTTCTTTTGCATAGCATTTACTGTTCATTTAGGAATAGGTAGGCAAGCAGAAAGACCAGGAATGTGTGATTCTCTCTTTGAACCTTGATTTTTATCTTGACTCAAGTGGATCTTGTAGTGATCAGTTCCATTCTCTGTATGGGAAAAATTAATCTTTTCCTCAGCCTACATAGTAGCGTCATTCAGACTTCTTATGGTTTCATATCTCTGGGCTATGAAAGAGTGGTGGTAGATTCTGCCCTGCTAAAGCATTTGTTGCTTTTTATATTTGATTTTGTTCTCCTTCTTATAATGTTATCTTTCTGTGGTAAAAAGTAGCTGCTGTACATCTCCTAGTACAACTACTCTAATCTCTTTTCTGATCTACAGCAGAGGAGCTGAGCTCACTATTTGAAAAAAAGAATTTCAGAGTAAAATCTCCGTGTTCTGGGAAGCAGTCAATATTGTCTGTGCGACTTGAGCAGTGTCCGCTGCAGCTGAATAACCCCTTCAATGAGTACTCAAAATTTGATGGCAAGGTAAGTGGACCGGATGTTCTTCTCGTATCCAGGTGGTCCCTGCCCTGAAGATGATGGGCCTTAGGCAGTTCTCGTGTGCATTTACTTGTTCAAGATTTAATTAGACTTTATGGTAGGCCATCATTTAGTCTTCAATATAATGGTTCCAGGTTCGGTAGAACCATTTCTCCTGTTTTCATTACAAAATTACTCCTTACCATTAGGCATGCCTAATGTCCTAGGACATCTCTCTACAGAGTTGATGGTGAGACCCTTTGTATGAATTATTGGTTATTTGGCATTTAAAAAAAAAAAATCTATTCTGTCTAGCCACATCGTAGCACTTGCTGAATATTCTATGGTTTATGCTGTCTTTACCCTCAAAATGCTCCAATGAGAGTGGGAAAAGCCACTGTCTGTTTTGAGGGTGAAAAAATGAAGCATCAATAGGTCAATATCTGGGGCAAAAAAGGACTAAACAATATAGTTCTGTGCAAGTACTCATTTATGTAATACATGGAGGAGGTTCACTACAAATCTGGTAAGTCAAATTAATTCCTTGACTACGTTCATTTCAAGAGCTTGCATTTGATATTACTCAGAATTGTAGATAACTATTTTTCCTTGTGTGCAATGTAGTTACTCTGTATTGTCTATTTTTTTCTCTGTCATAAACTCTAGAAACTGAAATATAAACATTGGTGTGATGGATCAGTGTCATATTGTTCCAAAACAATTATAAATACTGCACAGGTCTGTTTTCTGCTGGATTTGTTTGTGGAGTCTCCTGGGGGAGTATGAAGTTTGAGCTTCATTACCATTGTGATGGAAGAATTTCATATTCTGTTAAATATTCTTAAAGTGAAAAGTCAGATATGTAATTTCAGTAGCATATCTAGAAGTATTTAGAATATTTGTGAAATGGTAACTTTTGCTACATGAGCTTCATAGTTTAAAAGCTGCCTCTGTTGTTATTTTATACTTAGCAGTATGTAGTAATCGGTGCTAATTCAGTTATTCAAAATTTCTGGCTTCAGTAGTAAATGATAGCGTTGTCAGCATTGAAGTACTGCTAAGATGCCTGTTTTCTAAACTCAAAGCTTGCTGTTCTTACCAAATGGAATTTCAGTTTGGCAAACATTTAAATGTACTTCCAACAGTCATGCACAGAGGAAGTAAAAATAAAATAAATACTTCTTTATTAAGAGAACTTCATTGTAATTTAGTAGTGTGCCAGTCTTGTTGCTTTAATACTTGAGCATGATTTGGGCTGAACTGCTAGAAGTTTTCTCAGAAACTTGAGGAACGTAAGCATGTTTCCTTCTCACTTTGATAATCCAAACTACTTTTTACTCTATTAAATTCTATTAATAGGAATTATAGTTGACTGTAATGAACATCTTAATTTTCATATTTAAAAGTCGGATGCATTTAGCAGGTGTTCGGTCCATTTGAAGGAGATTGTACTATACAGAATAGTTTGACATGTTAATGAAATACCTCGATGTTAGTCAATTGTGATTTGTAGGGTGATCTAGACATCAAAATACCTTTTTAACTCTCAAAAATAACTGAATTGTCATTTTGTTATGTAATCTCACTATGTTAATTTTAACAGCATTGTTTATGTTACTCTGGTAAGTTTGTCAATAGTATGCTTATAAAATTTATTTTCTATACTTCCATATGTATTGTCTTTTTTTTTTAAATACCTACTTGACCATCTGAGATACAGAAGAAACATTATAGTTCAGTAGTGAGTTATTTTACTTCAGTTCTGTTGTATTTTCAGACAGTAGTGTAAACTTGAAAACCATCTAGCTTTAAAAAATTATTTTTAAAGAAATATCATAGGTCTCGTATTTTTTTTTATTGATAATAGATGAGTGGTATTTTTCACATAAATACAGTTCTTTCAGGGAATAGCGCGTGACTTATTTACATAATTAACAGAGCCCCATATCTCTTGGGGAAATGGTACATAATTGGGGAGAGGCAGGGGGGATGAGGAGGGGCTAGGGGCCTAATTAAACATGTCTTAAAACCCCCCTACTTTATTTACTCAAGGGATCACAGTGGCTCTGAAATCTTTAAGATTGTAACTAGGCCTTTGGTTTATATATATATTTGAGTTTTGTAACGCAGATTTTTAGCTTGTTGAACAACACAGGTTTTGTGGTTCAGTGGTAAAGCATGAGGAAAGTTTTACTTGCTGAATCAAAGCTCTTTGTTCATGTGTGTACTCAGCTTAACTTTTCTGAATGGTTTTAACTTGCCACTAATTCAGCTCCTCAACTGACCTGAAATCAAATCAAACCATTCCTTTCAGGGTCCTTCTCGCCCCTCCCTCCATCTGATGTACTGTTTTAAAATAATCAGTTAAAATAAGAAAACATTGCATGCTGTAATGTCAACCAAGCACATTTATTAAAATGCTTACATCTTGCAGGTATTTTCTGCCAGATTTAGTGTCTTTTTCATAACCACTTCTGCAATTTTATGAAATAATAAAATTTTAAAGCACACTAATTTCTTCTTGTTCTGATCAGTTCATTAATTACCAAAATAGTAGAGAATATGGCTTGTGAAATGCAACCACAATGGAAATATTCTAATCAGCTCAAGAATTCAGGTGATTCTTGCCCCACAGCTACACGGGACGGACCTGTGGCCTTCATGTCCATTGTAAAACTTCAGCTCTTAATGAAAGACACACCCACAGTAACTACTCTTGGCCGTATCTTCAAGTTTTTCCTTAAAATAGTTAAAGTAAAATTAACCCTTGCATCTGTTTGCATGGTTTGTAAATCATGTGTACATCTTGGTTAATAAATCTTGAAAACTGTTGCTAAGAGTGTTGTATGAAAAGAAGCCTTTAGTTATTTGTGATTATGTCAGTTGTCATTTGTATAGAAAATTACTTGAAGGCTTAAGAAATCAGTGGCCAAATTGATTTCCTTTATCTGCATGCAAATTAAATTATCATCCATTTTATAGATAACGTTGGGTATATTTCTGTTTGCAGAATTTGAAAAATCAAATGCTGATGGCTTATGGTTCCAACTTGCCAATTATTGATAAGGTTGGGAAAATAAGACTGACCATAAGACAGATTTGAAAGCTGTAGCCAAGTACTACAGATGAAACACAGGAGCGTTGTAATGGCTCATTTCAGTGACACAACTGTGAGATTCACAAGATTCAGTTTACCTATACGTTACCTGCCTGCTTTCATTAATTGCCTTAAAAGCATGTGTTATCTTTTCATTCTATAGAAATTCGGAATATTTCTTTCCAAATTACAAGTGTAATTTGCATGAGTTGCTGGAAAGCCATGACGATGAGTTTTGTCTGAGATATTTATCTTAAAGCATACTGATTTAGTACAGTATTAGTGTCAAAGCTATTCAACTGCATGACCATTCCCACTAGTAAGAAAAATGTTACCGAGATGTGTTTAGCTACTGGAATAGAGGAAAATCATGCTAGAATTAAATGTTCAGCTTTGTAGGAACCGCATACTGAATGAATAACCGCTGAGGCCTCTGTTCACATTTCCCCTTGAAATCATCTTTGAAGCCAGTCCACATCCATTTTTTCTTCCAGGTCTCTGCTACCTGTAAGAAATTTTCATCACTAAAATGTCTCATCAAATCAATTTTTGATGTGCCTGCCACCGAATGGCTGCTCCTTGCATCCTCAGAAGAATGTTGGCAAACACAGAAGTGTTACAGGACAGTCAAAAAAGAGATGCTAAAGGTGCACAACGTAGTCAAAGAAGAAAGTTGGACAATCACGATCAAAATGGAAGGAAGGGATCATGCAGCTCTAGAATAAACTTGAGTTACAAGGCCAAAAACCTTTCCTGCATGCAGTCTAGTTTTCTCAAGATATTTTAATTTCGGTTTTCATGACTGCTAGTTGAAAATGAAGATTTAAGGAAGTCTGGCTTTTCTGACCTTACAGGGGTTTTGTGAGTTTACTTGACTACTGGAGATAATTTTAATAAAAATAGGTCAACATTATTTTTGGCTGGACAGACACTAAAAATCCTATTGTGAGGAATGGTACCTCTGTATAGTGTTACAGGGTTTCTTGTGGCTAATTTCGGTAATGGGTTAATACCCAACAATTTCTCTTGTAGCAACTCTTTTAAAAATGATGCTGTAGAAAGCATGGGGGAAGGGATAATTCATGAGTGCTAATTGCTTGGCTGTTAATTTTCATAAGTGTTGATAGAAGCAGTTCCTTAAATTAAACTTTGTTTAAAATGTATCAAGGGAAATATTCCACAATGTCGGGCCTGAAGTGAAAATTAATATGAATGCTGTGGCAATTAACACGTACCGGTTAATAGCTTTTAGCAGCATTTTGGGATGATAGTCCTTAAATACATTTTTGCATGCTGCTCTTGTTTCAGTCTTGTTTGACTGTATGTCTGGATAATCGTGAACAAATGTTTTCCACAATCTCCAGTATTAAATAGCTTTACTCAAAGAAAGTAGATAAAGAACTTAAAAAAGAAGCAATACTGCTTTAATTAATATGGAAAATGTCTAAAATAATTAATCCAGGATTAAAATCTCAGTGTGGGGGGAAAAAAAAAAGCATTTTTTTTATTTAAATGTTTTGCCCCTAAGCTGAGCGGAATGATCCTCATCTGAATCCTAAATAAGTTTGCATAGTTGTTGTTTTTTTTTTTTTTTTAAAGCATTTGCTCATTCTGCCAATTCTAGTGGTTTACATACTACCCGCGGTCTGTTACATAGTTGAAATGAAGGTGTTTACGGTGTTATCATTTATGTTATATTACATACGTGTTAGCATGATGTTTATAAAAATGCAGGGTCAGTATTTATGCTTGGAAAGCTCCTGCTGTAGCTGCACCCAGAGCCAAGGCCCTGGCAAAGCCGTGCTGCGCCGGGCAGCGCCGCCGGCGGGGAGCCC